AAATATATGAAAAAATGTTCCACATCACTGGTCATTCGAGAGATGCAGATGAAAACAACACTGAGATTCCACCTCACCCCACAAAGAATGGCTGCTATCAAGAAATCACACAATAACAAATGTTGGCAGGGTTGTGGGGAGAAAGGAACCCTCCTCCATTGTTGGTGGGAGTGCAGACTAGTGCAACCACTATGGAAATCAATATGGAGATACCTCAAAGAGCTTGGACTGGAGGTTCCATTTGACCCAGCCATCCCTCTGCTGGGTATCTTTCCAAAAGAACTAAAAGAATCATATCACAGAGAAGTATGTGCACCCATGTTTATAGTGGCACAGTTTGTAATAGCTAAATCTTGGAAACAGCCTATTTGCCCATCCGATGAGAAAGCTTTTTTTGGTACTGGGGATCAAACTCAGGACCTTGCACTTTCAAGGCAGGTGGTGGCACCACTGAGCTAAATATTTCCCCAGCACCTTCAGTTCAAGTTTTTTTGGTAAGTAGTTCGTTCAATACTGGATATACAATTTAAAAAATATTTTTTCCCCATGATGCTAGGGACTGAACCTAGGACCTTCACCTGAGCTACATCCCCAGCCTGTTTTCCTTCTGACACAGGATCTCACTAAGTCATTAAGTTGCCTAGGCTGGACTCAAACTTGTGATCCTCCTGTTTAGCTTCTGAGAGGGCTGGATTATAGGTATATGCCACTGTGCTTGGCAAAACTATATAACTTACAAGTAGAGTTGTAAAGCCTGGGCTTGACTAGATCAAATATCTCAAATATCTAGATTTTTGTTTTTGTGTTTAAGTCTTTATGGCTTTAAAAATATGCAGTAAAAGTGCAGATAGGTATTTCAGGATCTTTAGAAATGGAATTGGCTAGAATGCATGCTTATAGATTTTGGTAAAACAGTCTTCAAAGTTTATGTACAAATTTACACTATAGTAATGAACTTATAGCAGACAGTCTAATCATTTCTCCACTTCTTGAACCATTGGTGTTCTAAGACACTTTAACTGTTGCCAGTCTGAGGGATGGGAAATTGTATTTCAATATATAACAGTACTTGGTTTTGCCTTAATGGGTATGAGTGAAGTCAAGTACTTTCTCTCAATCTCTTAATGTTACTGGACATAAGTTTTCCTCCTTATATAGTCACTTATTTCCTTATTTATTTTTGCAGTCCTGAGGACTCAACCCAGAGTCTTGTGCACACTGGCAAGAATTCTACATCTCCAACGCTTTTTATTTTGAGACTAGGTCTATGGAGCACCTGAAACACTCTACTGTACTACTGGAGCAATTGACATAACCACCTGAGAAGACTGGCAGTATCAACTACAGCTGAGTATGTGTAGATGATTTAAGAGATGAAGGTCACACTACATTCAAAGCCATTTAATGTGTACCACACTACCTTGATGTACATTCTTAGACCCACATTCTTTATGAGGTGAATGGGGAATAACTGCCATGTTTATGCTTCTTTAAAGGTTGAGTAAATGAGGCCAGGTATAGCAGAGCATGCCTGTAATCCTGTTTACTCAGGAGGCTGAAGCAGAAGGATCTCAAGCTCAAGGGTAGCCTAGGACAAATAAATACACGAACAGCTGAATATGTGTACAGCTATGACTCATGAATTCTAGTCCTAACTATATACAGAATAGAAATACATACACTTGCCCTACAAAAGATATATGTAAATATGATATAGCTAAGGTGGGTGTGATGGTGCATGCCTATACTTCGAGCACCCTGGGAGGCTGAGGCAGGAAGATCCCAAGTTCAAGTCTAGCCTTGGCAATCTGGTGACTTAGCAAAACTCCATCAACATAAAAAATGAAAAAAAGGGCAGGAGATGTAGCAGTGTGAAGGCCCTAGATTCAATCCCCAGTACTCGGAAAAAAATGTAGACGAACAATAAATAACTATTCACTATAATAATATTCAATGATTTCATTAACTATGAAAATTTTCCAAAACCCAGTGATACAAAACAAGTAAAAACAATACAGCCTCAAACTGGAAAAAACTTACACATAAACCTGCTATATGATTCCACACTAGAAAGTTCACAAACTAGTAAAACTAATCTTCAGCAGTATTACGGCAGTGATTCTCCTGAGAAAGTACCAATTCTCAAGTGACTGGAGGGTACTGGTAAGGTTGTTTCTGATCCAGGTGCACCACAAAGGTGTCCCTTTCATTAAAATACATCTACTTATCTACTTACCCTAAGACACATGATTTCTTCAGAGATATGCCATGTTCAATAAAAATTTCTCCAAAAATATGTATTAAAACTATTTTTTCTTTCTTTGAACATGCTTAACTCTCTCCAATAACACCGGTATTTTAAAAATTGAAGCCAACTGATCATAACATTTTGCGAATACACACACACACACACACACGCACAAAATCACATAAAAAACTCCAGAAAAACAAGCAAGATATACTATACCTGTGCTTCCTATTATGATAGCCCTTAGTTACAAATGGCTGCCAAAACCCTGGACTACTTAATGTGAATTTAGACATACGACACATATGAAATCACACCAGATTTTGAAGATTTGAAACAAAAAAAGAAATGTAAAATACCTCAGTGATTTTTATGTTAATGCTAAAATATTTTTGATATATTAGGTTAGATAAATCAGTATTACATTAGATAAAGTAATACTTTTGCCTTCAATTTTCTTTCAGTTTTCCTCATTCCATATAAAGTTCTAAAGTTCTATGGTTTTAATTTAAGCAATTACCGTGTGAGAACATGGGTCACCAAATATTCTTTCAAAAACTTCCTCTGCTTCCTTAAAACTGCCATGCTCCATACAAACAGCTATAGCCTTAAAGACAAAATAACAAACACAGACCTTAGACTGTTTTTTAAAATATGCATTAATTGTTATTATGGAAATAAGTCAAGTCTGAAACACTTCATTTAAAACATTTTTATATGACAGGCATGATAGCACATGACTATAATCCAGCATTCTGGAAAGCTGAGGCAGGAGGAGTCTAAGTTTGAGCCCTGCCTGGCAACTTAATGATTAGTTAGATCCTGTCCCAAAATAAAGAGAAAAGGTGCTGGGCATGTAGGTTAGTGTGGAGGCCCTGGTTTCAATAGCCAGCACTGCCAAAACAATTTTTTATGAGCTTAATACTTTTTATTTGATAAATAGCAGTTTTTCAAAGATGAACTATCTGTGGCTTGACATGAAAAAGAGGTATGAAAAAAATTTCACTGTTCCTGAGCATACTTACTAATAAATGATCAGCATTCTACCTCTAATTTAGGTTAAACTAAAAGCTGGCATTAACAAATCAGAAGCTAATTGATGCATATTTAGAACCTGATTAAATATGGTAAATCTCTGACTTACAAACATTTGAGTTGACAACTTTCAGATGCAAACAGACCTCATATTTGCTTTGTTTTGTTTTGTTTTTTGTACCAGGGATTGATCTCAGGACCTTGTGATTGTGAGGCAGGTGGTGGAACCACTAAGCTAACTCCCCAGCCCCATCTTTGGTTTTTTAATGCTTTCCACTGTAAATTTGTGTCAAAGGTATAGTCTAATATTCACTTTGTCAGACTTACAAATGATTATCAGGAAATGGAACTTGTTCATAAGTTAGGGACTTACTGTATTAATCTTCAGTGGAAGACAGCTCGGAGAGAACACAGATGCTGTTTGTGATGGTAAAATTTGCTAGTCAGGATTCCAAGAAAATCTCTACTAGAAACCTAGCAAGTCAGATATTTTTGAATGACCATTTTACATACTGGCCTTTCTGATATCACAATGTGTTAATATATGGAATGACAATTATTAACACCTGAGTAATTATATAAACTTGGCAGGCTAAGCTCTTGGTGCCTCAGTTTCCTTATATCTAAAATAGTGGAAATAATAGCACAACTACTTTACAGAATGGTTAGGAGGATAAAAGATCAAAGTGCTTAGAATAGTGCCTGGAAAAATAGTAAGCAATGTAGGTACTAAACGTTTGTTATATACTTTATTTTTACCCACCCAACTTTACAGCAGCAGCGTAGCAACAAAGGTCAGCTTTCTCTAGGAACCCAAAAGGTTGGATATAATGAAAAACTTCTTTGTCCCAAGTTGAATTCTTATAAGAAGTGGTCATTTTTCTGCCAATTCTTTTCTCTTTAGGTCTAAATTCTACTTGACAGTCACTATAGTAATTCTTGGGAAGGATGGAAATCACCTGGGTTTTCTGTCTTAACTCATAAATTATTATTTTTTAATTCTAAAAAACTGAGGAAAAGTTTAATTGAGAAAGTCCACAGTATTTGTTTTGACTGCTAGGGAAACATTCTTTTCTATTATATCTTTGGATGACTTTTTGGCTTCTCACTCTACTAAAATTCTCTCAACATGGTTAACATTTTACATCTCGTTCACAAAGACCAATGATCTATTATTAATTAGAAATATTGGGCTAAGATATATGTCAGTGATACAGCATGTCATGGTTAAGGCAGAGTATAAACTGGGATTGGTGGAGCACACTTCTGGGTATGTCTGGGTGAGTCATGAAGGTGTGGATTTGGGGACTATGTCTGGTCTCTTGCCTTTCCCGTTCTAGTACTGTTCCTGGCTTTGCTTCCATGCCACCATGAATTAAGCAGCTATTCTTCACCACACCTTTCCACCATGTTTTTGCCTTAGAGCCAGATGACCATGGAGTGAATCTCCTTAAAATGTGAGCCAAATGAAGCCTCTCTTCCTTTGAACTGTGGGCATAGGGTATTGTGTCTAGCATGGGAAAGCCAACTTCTATAAAGTACACACTTTGAGTCCCTGGATTCAAACCCTAGTCCCAAATAACTCACAAACAAAAATATTATATTTCTGTTCATATGTATAATCCTTAAGCTGAAATTAGGAGAGCACAAACTTTTGGTTTTTGAAGGCTGCTTGGCAATCTTTAAAATAGATCCAGTATTCTGTATTTCCTGCAACATGGGGTTAACACATACCCAACTATGGAATACAGTACTGAGTTGTAGGCCTTGGTACGTATGTCAAGAGTATAAACCAAAGGTTACATTTCTAAAGAAAAAAACCTAACTAATTTTTTCTTTGGATTTACTGGCCAACTTCCATTAAGTTTCTTTTATTTTGTATATATTTTCATGAATTAGCAAAATAATAATAATAAGCACAAAGTAATACTCATACCTGAATTTTAATTAAATTCTGTATTTTTTCATGAAGTTTGTCATGTTGTTTTTCAATTGAAGTCCAAATCATCAGGGCTGATTCCAAGGGTGTAATTCGCTCATCACTTTCAAACTGTGCATCTTTTAAAAACAAAATAAAAATAAGTAACTTAGAAAGCTAAGTAGAGGCTTATGTTGTAAGCTTCCTTGAAACATTCCTTTGAATATTTACTAAACTGTATACTATGCAGTGATCAAAAATATGGTAAATGTTTAAAATATAAAAATGATTGTAATAAAAGACATATTGCTATTAATCCCTCAAAAATCTCTAAAATATTTCCCCTTGCTTTGTTAAACACACATCACTCCTGCTACTGTCTGAAGCAGTTCTGGAAGATCTTTTTCCTGACCGTCCTAGCTGCCTTGATATCCCAAACTGATTAAACGTGTTTACATTTCATAGTCATTTTGACTCTGTGGAAGAGCCAGATGTTGCATGGTGTCGTCAGAGCCAGTGAAACTGGGTGGATGAGAACATGAGCCTGACTTTCCATCAGAGGGTGCTTGGCAGTGGGATTCACTGTATATTTAATCACACCTCATAAGACACAAAAGAGGACTTCCAGAACTGATTTTGAAAAAGGCAAGAACAATGGGGTGTGGATTAATGGCAATGTGTCTTGTACTGTAATACAGTACATTTTTACAAATTTAAATATAAATCATATTTTTGGATCAGTCCTTGTCAGGCGCCAGGCACTGTTTTGACATATGCCAGGTTAGGGAACTGATTTTCTAACTTACTCATTAAGATTAATTTTTAAATGGGGTGGGGGGGCACCCTGATATTCTTTTTTAAAATACTGAGTTGCTGTGTTTTGGGCTTTTTCTTTTTTGTTGTTGTTGTTGTTGCCATCCTGGGGTTGAATTCAGGGCCTCATATATGCTAGGCAAGCACTCTGCCACTGAGCTAGATCTTTAGCCCAAAAATACTGATTGTTTTTTCCCTTAAGTTTTTGAGATAGAGTCTCTGTGTAGTCCAGGATGGGCTTGAGCTTGTTGAAGGTCCACATTGGCTTTAAACTCACAATCCTCTTACCTAAGACTGCTGAGCACTGGAATTACCGACTTGTATGTGTGGTCTTAGTAAAATAATGATTTTAAGGGGTAAAATAAACTATATTTTACATAAGATATCACAGTAATACAATTCTTAAATTGTTTATAAACCTAACTACATTATACTAAATCTCAAGACAGAGCCTCAGTTTTCTCACTTAAAAATTGATGAAAATAATTTTATGGGACATTGGTGAATACTGAATGTAACAGTTGCACTACTGCTGCACTTTCCTAAGAATGAATTTTGGTCAGGTTATCCTGAACAAAGACTCAGAATAGCTAACTACTTAGTAAATTACACACTTAACAACTCACTTTAGCACTTGGGAACCTTCACTATGTATGCCATGTATGCCTTATAATCTATAATTTAAGCAATAAATATTTACTGATGACTATGTATAAGCACTTGCCTAAAAAACCACAAGCATCTCAAGGAGTAAGACGAAGTACCTATTCTTATAATGCTTATTATACGCTATTGGGAAACAAGCAATACATTAGTAAATGGTAAGGGCTACAAGGAAGAACAAGGGCACTGGTAATAAAGAAGTGTAGAGTCATGCAAGCTCTAGAGTAGTTTGAAATGGCCTCTCTGAGCAAATGATAGGGGAGCTAAGACTGACACAACACAGTCACACAAGATCTGAACAAAAAATATTCCAAAGAGGATAGTAAAAACAAAGATCCTCAGTAGGGTTACAGTATTCAAAGAAGAAAAAGTAAAGAGTAGGCAAGTTGGATATGTGTCATCAGATTGCAGATGAGGTATGTAACTTTCCAATCTGGAACTTACTGTGAATAGAGAACATTCTAATGGATTAGATGTGGAGTGTGAGAAAAAAAACAGAAGATTCAGGTTTTAACAAATGGATAAATTGTGCTGACACTTACTGACATAGGAGGTCTGGGTGAAGAGCAAGTTTAAGATAAACATGGAGAAATCAAGAAATCTATAATCTAAATAAAATGCAGTTTACCAAATAATGCTGAAGTTTTTCTTTTGTCTAGAGTGTCATTTTTATATTCTCTTTCTGACAAATTGTAGCAACCCTTCTAGGCAAAGCATAAACTCCACTTCCTTGGATGCATTCCTGATTCCAGCTAGAAACTAGGAAATTTCTTACCCCCACCCCTACATGTTTTCTTCCCCCCAGTACTAAAGATTGAACCCACAGCTTTTGCAGCGAGCTAATCCCTGACTTTCATTTATTTCATGATAGGGTTTATGGTAAGTTGCTCAGGTGGGACTCAAACTTGTATTTCTTCTTCCTCAACCTCTTAATGTTGGGATTATAGGTATGTAGTACCCCATCCAGCTAAAAATTTTATCTCAATACTTGTCTTTCCTAATACATGCACTTTTCTTACCTGACATTACTTAATCCTGCTCAATAATGTGCTCTTCTCTTTATAAATGTAAGATATGGAAAAATATATGGTAGACCTTCAAAATTTAACCATTTAGACATTCACTTCCAGTAGGCCATAGGATAGTGTAACAGATTGAATATGCCCACTACAACTAAACAAACAAACAAAAAAAAGACTGAATAAATGCACAATTGTATTAGTAAAGACATGGGATAGCTATGGAAGCAATGAAAATGAGACGAACTAAAATTTCAGAGTTAGTGAATCCTTTGTGAGGCAAGCTGATCATGTGTATCTGTTTTCTTCCTTGAGTTTATTAGCTAATTTTGGACAAAGAAGAATACAGTATACTCAGGCAGCAGGATTTATGGAGCGGGGGCATAGAAATAAAAGCCACAGGTAGTTTCTTTGGGGCTGGCTTGGTGGATTAGAAACTAGATAAACTGTCAACATGACTGGCTTTTCCTCAAAAGATGCACTGAGTTCTGAGGCAGGGTAGGAATCTGGGAAATCTTTCAGTCTTATAGATGATAAGAAATAAAGACCCATGAAGAGAAAAAGTCTGGCATAAACAAACACTTACCCCTTTGAGACATCTGCAGTATTTTAAAGCCATTATGTAGGATAAGAAATAAAAACCAATACGGCAAACACTAGCCATGTATAATTACTAAGCAGTTAAAATGAGGCTAGTCCAAACTGAGATGTGCTTTAAGTAAAATACATACCAAGTGTTGTAGCTTGTGTCTAGACGTCACCCTAAAGTCTCATGCAGTCTTTTTTGAAGGTAGCTGAATCTGGAATGTATGATGTTGGGATTAAGGGCGTGTGATTACTGAACCACTATGTGTGAGTGATTGGTTTGGCACCATCCCAATCCCAGTATCTGGATGGGATAAAAGGCAATGAAAGACTCTGTTAAGGTCTCTTGTTGCTTTTTGCTGCTTCCACTGCCATGAACTGTTGCCCCTCTGCACCCTGACTTGGAGCCAGCAGATTATGGACTGAAACCTCTATGAACTGTAAGCCAAATAAACCTCCTCCCCTTTTACCTTTGTATGTTGGGTATTTTGTCTCAGCAATGAGATAAAAGTAACATACCGAGTGTATCATAAAAACTTACTACAAAAAGTAAAATACATCATTAACATTTTTATGTATTACTTCTTGACATGTTTTAGAAATACTGGATAATACGATTAGAATTATCTTTTTATTTTCTTTTTTTTTTTTGGTACCGGGGATTGAACTTGGGTCCTTGCACTTGCAAGGCAGGCCACTGAACTGCTGAGCTAAATCCCTGGCTTTTTATTTTCTTAATGTACCTATTTAAATTACACATCTCTTAAGCAGTACTTATATAGAGCAACCACTAAAAATAGTATAAAAGGTTACATACACCAAAAATCCAATCTAATTAAACTTTAACTGCCTCTTTATGTGAGTCCATTATAATAAAACATATTGATCCATGACAGCTGACCATGGCCTATTGTATCTAGGATATATACTCAACAGGAAATCTTTGTCAACTTCAAGATGAAACCATGGGATTGGGTTGGGAATATAGTTAAGTGGTAGAGTGCCTAACATGCACAAGATTCTGGCACCACAAGAAAATAAAACTTTGGGATCTCACATAAAATCTGGAACTTGGATGTTCCTTTTTTGGTGAGAGAAAGTTATCCAGAAAGAAACTAAGATATACTGAACAGGGCTATATATAAAGCACTGTTGGGCACTTTATATTTTTGTTACACTTTATTTACAAAAGAACCCTATTAATAATATTATCTTATGGTCTGCAAAGTCTGGAATTTTCCAATTGTGCCTATACCAACCTGTTTTTTCTCTTTAGCAACAGGCTCTGATGTCTGATCTCTTCCACATTTACTCTGCTCTAGCTCTACTCTTCAGATCGAACTTCAGGCCCTAAATAAAACAGGCTACATGAGCCAAAGTTGATTTAGTGAGTACTCTGAAAGTGGTGCTAATACTTAGGGTTTGTGTAATACATGTTTATAAGTTAAGAGTTTCATGTAAATACTGTCCACTAAGTAGGACTGTAGGGAAAGTATTTTTAAATTGTAAAAACCAATTATTTCCACCAAATTATACTTTGACCATGTAAATAAAACTGAACCAAAATTATCCAGTATAATCTAGTATGAACTGTGGAAATAAGGGAGAGAGATTGTAGCTATAAACCACATTTCTTTTTGTAAGTGTCTACATCAAGTTTAAATAAAAAACTTCAAATATCAGTTGGACATGATGGCAATAAGCCTATAATGCCAGCATTCTTGGATGCTGAGGCAAGAGTAGCACAAGTTACACCTAGTTTCGGCAACTTAGTGTGACCTATATTAAAATAAAAAATAAAAAAAGAGATGTAGTTCAGTGTGAAGGCCTTGAGTTCAATCCCCAGTTCTGCAAAAAGTTTCAAATATCACTAGTCAGTAATAGTGTTTAATTGGCATGAGCACAAAGTTATATAATAATAAAATTTAAAGTCTATGAGAGAGTTTGCCCACTATTGTATCAGAAACACTAAAGAACTGGGCTGAGGATTTAGCTCAGTGGCACTGTGCTTGCCTCCCAAGCGCAAGGCCCTGAATTCAATCCCCAGTGTGTGTGGGGGGTGGGGGGGACACACACGAGAACTTACTAGAAACGTAAATCCCAGAGGCCCATATTCATCCCTCAGATTAGAGAACTCATGGGGAGAGCAGGATTCATCATTGTTATTTAAGAAGTTCTCTGAATAATTCAAAAGCATACCAAAATTTGAGAATTGCTGCTGTAAGAAGATAGAAACTATATTTCTTTTTTAGTAAAACTTCAGATTGCAATTTGTTCTGTACAACTACCAAACATTTATAATAAATTTTAACTTGATGAAGGAGCTATGTCCTGCAATATTAGTACATCATGACAATTGTCACATGATCTGAATACACACACACACACATACATTATCTCTCTCTCTCTCTCTCTCTCCCTACTCACTCACTTCCTTCAGGATTGTGAGTGATCATCTCCAAATATCAAGAGGTCATGGAGATCTGGACTATGGAGGAGGAGCAGAAAAAGGCAGAGGCATCCCTTCAAATCAAATTAGAGAGATACATAAATGGTGTAAAACAAGTGCAAACGTTTGTTAAAAAAGAACCATCTGAATAAGGCTGTAGCAGTGCAAGCAATGAATTTGTTTACCAACAGTACAATGTTCTCTCTCTCTCTCTCTCTCTCTCTCTCTTTTTTTTATTTGGTACTGGGAATGAAACTCAGGACCTTGCTCTTGCAAGGCAGGTGGCAGAACCACTGAGCTAAATTCCCGGGCCCAATGCAACATTCTCAAAAAGAGGCAAACGCAAGTGTCACTGGATAGGTTCCTTCTTAAAGCTGCATGATAAGAAAAAGATTCCCGAGCCAATAGACAGCAGTTGGGGGCCAGGGATTTTGCTCAGTGGTTCTGCCACTTGCCTTGCAAGCGCAAGGACTACAGTTTGATCCCCAGTACCAAAAAAAGAAAAAAACAACAGACAGCAGTGATTCCATTAATAATAGTGAAAGTCATTCTACACAATAACCCTTCTCTCTTCTCTCTCTCACACCAGCCACAAAGATTTTCAAAGGTTAGGGCACGTTAATTTGTTCACTTTTTTTTTTTACATTTGTATTTTCTTTATTATTTTGTATTACACTACATTACTGTAATCATTTTTATATGAATATTTTTGGGTTGTGAAATGAATTAATTAATTTTCCAGAATTTCTTACGGGGAAATTCATTTTTTATTCAAGTGCTTTGGATTACAAGCATATTTCACAAATGAATTATGCTCACCAATGTTTTACTTTATGTGTTCTATTTTGTTTTTATTTTTGGTACCAGGGATTGAACTTGGGTCCTTGCGCTTGCAAGGCAGGCCACCGAACCGCTGAGCTAAATCCCCGGCCTACTTTATGTTTTTTAAATGTGTGTGTGTGTATTGGCCAGATACATATAAGCAAACCCTGAAAAAAAAAAAAAGTTTATAATCTCTTCTGATTGTTTTATATTTGAACATAAATTATTTCCAATAAAAGATTAAAATACATATTTACCAAGAGATTTCCCTGCTGCAATTCTTGTCAAAAACTGGCATATGTACACAGTTCTCAACTGATCAGCTGTGAGACTAGGGAGTCCATGAATAATAGCTGGAAAAGAAAAAAGTAAATTTTACTAAAATGAAATCAAATAATCTAGTAGTGGTTATATGTGGTTAATAGATTATAAACATCTCATTAAAATTACCAGAAATTCAAAGATGTATGTTTTAGCTATTAATCTTTAAAAATCAGCACAAAAGTGGGGCCTACTGGTGCACAACTGAAAGCTCATTGCTCTAGGAGGATGAGGAAAGACGATTTCAAGCTCAAGCCTAACTTGAGCAACTTCACAAAACTGTCGCAAAAGAAAGTAAAAAAAATGGCTGGCAATGTAGCTCAGTGCAAAGGTCCTGGGTTTGATCCCCAGTACCACAGTTTTCCAAAATACAGTTAAGTCCCTGACTTATGACATTAATTCAAGTTGCAAGGTTTTCACAGAATAGACCTTGCATTTGGATTTTTTTATGCTTTACATTGTATTTCTGTCAAAGGTGTATAAGACTCACTTTATTGGATTTACAAATGAATCTGACCTACATAAATTCTCCAAGAGCCAGGAATGGTTGTGCATGCCTGTAATCCCAACACTTGGGAGACAGAGGCAGGAGAATTGTTTCAAATTTGAGGCCAGCCTGGGCTCTGTAGTACATTTTAAGGTTAGCCAGAAGTACAGCGAAGCATTGTCATAAAAAAAAAATAAAAAAAATCTCCTGGAATGGAATGGGGATTCAGTATAACTGACTTATACATGCAGAATAACAAATATTTAAAATTATTTTCAAAGTATTATTGTACACTAACAAAAAATATTTAAATCTGTATTAAAATGTCAAATCACTAGTTGAAAAGTTATTTTATAACATGAAATTCTTCACACTATAGGAAATAGTTTATATTATTTCTGTCAAAATTGCAGTTATGTGACTGTTCAGTTCACAAAGCTATATTTAAAAATATATTTATTAATATTTACCTCACAAACATTTGCCCACCTAGATGTTGTACCAGGCAATGAATACACACACTGGCAAGTGCACTGTCTTCCTGGATTTCAGTGAGCTGGCTTATCAAAAGACAAATGACTGAACTAGTAAAATAAAAATGTGAAACTGAAAAAGACAAGTGCAGAATGCTAGGGCAGCATACCCCAAAGAAATCTTACAATGTATTTAAGTATCTTTCAGGGGAAAGAACTGTTAGGGAAGGCTGTGCTGAGGAAATACCATAATGTCTAAAATAAAGTGCCTTTGTACTTCACCCAAGGTTTGGTTGGTATATATCTGTATATATAACAGTATGTACGTGTGTGTGTGTGTGTGTGTGTGTGTGTGTGTGTGTGTGTGTGTATTATAGCATAAACATCTAGCAACCATTAAGTAGATAAAACAATACTCTTACTCTTTTCCTCAATTCTACAATGGCATAATCTTATGATGTAACACAGATGATATGGGCCAAATATAGTTAAAATTAATTAAACAGTATTTAAAGAGAACAGATTAAAGTTTTAAAAAGCAACTAAATATTTAGTGAACATCTACTGTGAGCCCATCTTAGCAGCTGATAACTGAGGGAGAAGACAGCCAATCCCTGATCCTTATGAAGTGTTTTCAGTCTGAGAAGATACAAGTTAATTATGCAAATGACTAAAATTTTAATGAGTGTCACAAAGAACAGATACAGTCAGCCCTCTGCATCCACAGTTCTGTACCTGCAAATTCAACCAACTGAAGATCAAAATGTCTTAAAAAATAAAACACTTGTACTTAACATGTAGTATTTTTTTCCTTCTTATACTTTAAATGGCACAGCATAATAATTATTTATATAATACTTACATTGTATTAGGTGTTATCAGTAATCTAGAGATGATTTAAAGTCTATGGGGAGAATGCTGAGGTTTTATGCAAACACTAGGCCAAAAACTCAAGTGTGGTGGACACACCTGTAATCTCAGCATTTGCTTGGCTGAGGCAGGAGGATCATAGCGAGATCAAGGCCAGCCTGGATTACACTGAGAGACCCTGTCTCAACAACAAAAATAATTTTTAAAAGACTGGGGGTGGTGTTCGGGTGAGGGTGTAATTCAATGTAAAGGCCTAATGTTCAATTCTTGGGACCACAGAAACAAACGACAACGAATAATCTTCCCATTGCGTCTTCGTCTTTGTTCATTATTTACAGGCTAAGCCGATTTCAGGTTTTTTATTCTGAGGACTATACTCAACAAACAGGCCAAAGAAGGTTTAAATATCTCACAAATCAACATAAAACATTGATGACTGGGGCTGTAGTGACTGCAGAATAAATATCACCATAATACCACTGTGTAGCACTCTGGGAGGCTGAGGCAGGAGGATCACAAGTTTGAGATCAGCCTGGGCAACTCAGCGATTAAAGAGAGACCCCGTCTCAAAAAGACCCTGAGTTCAATTCCAGTATCTTAAAAGCAAAGCACAGTTTAAAAACCACCAAATAAAAGCTCCTAAGAAGCCAAAACAAACCGCACCCTGGGTTGGGTGCAATTTTATACAATGTCTAGTCTAATCCTCGTGTCCACCCTAACCGGGGGGTCTTATTTTCATTTTACGGAAGAGAAAAAGAATCTGAGGGGAAAATGAGGCGCTGACAAGGGCGGAACCGCGACAACAGGCGAATGTGGCCGGGGCTAGCGTGGGTACTGGAAACTGCCCGGCACTCACCCTCTGCGCTGTCGCGGATGCGGTGGAAGTCCTCGGAGCGGCCGTCACGGAATGCCCGGCAGAGGGAGAGGCAGAGGAAATCCAGCATCCACCCGGCAGCCACGGCCTCGGCCTTCGCCACCAGGTCCTTGTCCACCTCTTTCTCTTTCTCAGGGACCCAAAACTCCCCCTGGCAGTCCAGCAGTTTCTGGCACTCTATGTGCTCCTGGTTGTCTCTGTCCTCTATCAGCGCCGGCTCCCTGGCATCCTCATCTTCCCCATCCGCACTTCCCCGCGGGCTCTGGACGCCAGAGGAGGAATCATCCGCCATGTTGAGCCGCTCCCGCCTCCAGCCCCACCTCCACCCCCCTCTCCCCAACGTCTAGCGCTGCGCCTTGATTGGATCCCGGTGAAGGGCGCAGGGCGTGACCGCGCGGAGTCGCTCCGCTGGCGGAAAATCACCCAATCACATAGCCAAGATGAAAGAAGGGGTCGAGCCTGGTTTCTGATTGGCCGAAACCTGCTCGCTTCTCCGACCTCGAATTTCCCGCCAGTCTGGGGTGGGCGTGGGGCTACTTCGTCCTCTTTTTAAAATACAACCTTGATGGAAACAAGCTAAGTTAAAATGGAAACACATTTTTCAGCAGCTACTTCCAAAGGAGATAGGTCATTATTCTTGGTTACTATCATTCAAACTTAATGCTTTAGGTGCTAAACTAATTCAACAAATGCATTTTACTAGAGTATTATAGGCAGCTAAATTACTGTAGTTACAGAGGGATTAGAAATCAGCACAAACAAATAAAGGCATCAAAATTGTGGGTGGAGGAGCCCCTGAAGAAGGCCAGGTCTCAAGATAAAAGATGCAAAGGCAAGGCCTAAGAGACCTAAGAGATAAACAACAATTTGAGATTATACCGTAAATATTGCCACCTGGTCCAGGAAATCCAGCTAGCAATCAGACGCCCAGGTGGGTGACCAGAGCATCTGGATTTAGCCGTTCCCCAAAATGCCATTGTTCCTTCCATGTACCTTTGCTATTTGACTTGTTTTCATATAGGTTGATTGTAGTTTGATCCACATTGTGTCCATGTTGTGACTTTGCTATATAAATTACCCAACATAGGGCCTCAGTGGCCACCCTATCGGGAACCCTCCAGGAAATCCAGGAGCTATTCTTCACTTTATTTCCAATAAAACTCTCCAAATTTCTTCCATTGTTTCGAGACTTCATTCTTAAAGTTGAGAAGCCGCGAACTCAGTACATTCGGCGTCTAACATGTCGGGAGTTATTTTTTTCCTATATCAACAGGATCACAAACCAAAACTGTTCTAAAGAAGTGACAACCTTGCCTTTGAACTCTAATACACATCATAATCAGCCCTGGCCACATTGAAACAATGGCTCCACTTCTGGAGCTTCTGGGTTCCACTCCAGAAGTTTCAGTTCTATAGTTCTGGCTAGGGGTCCTGGAACATGCAAGTCTAATTAATTAATAAGTTCTCTGGTAATGCTGAGGCTGCTTATGTGAAGATTACATTTTGTGACCTACTGCCTTAGGAATAGTAGATTACTATGGAAGTGTATTTTAATTGGGCTCTGAGACTATAGAATACATAAATGAATGCTTATTGTTATCATTTTGCAGCAAACCTAGGGCCTATGTATATGGTAGGCAAGTGCTCTAGCAATGAACTAAGCCTCAAGTCCCTGAATGCTTACTTTAAATTTTGCATCTTACCAGACAAGAGGAGATTCTGGGTAGGTGGGTGTGGCCTGGGTAGGGGGGGTGGACTGGTTATTTTCTGTTTCTTGATGTGGTTGATAGTTATGCTCAGTTTGCTCACTTTATGAAAATTATTTGAACATCATTTATGCCCTTTTTAGTATGTATTATTGAATAAAAAGTTAACTTTAAAATCCTTTTGTTTATAACATATATATATTAAAATTTTTTTGTATTTTAATTTTACATATATATTACTATCTTTTGGCAGTAGTATTTCATGTCTTTTTTTCTCTTTGGGGACTCTAGGGGTTGAAACTAGGGCCTCACATTTCTACACAGGGGCCCTACTACTGAACTGAGTCCTCAGCTCTTTTATTTTCAGATAGGGTCTTAATTTGCTCAGGTTGGCCTTGAACTTTGGATCCTCCTGCCACAGATTTCCAAATGTGGAAGCTAAACGGCAGAAAATGAGTTAATCTACAGTTATAGTAGTTACAGTAAACCTAGCCTCTTACTCCATCAGGCTCCTCTAAACTGGCACATACTAAGTGGCCATAATATTTTATATAGTGTAAACTATATGTAAAAGTAAATCATAAGCACACCTTTGATGTGGAACACACATATTTCTTCTCAATACCATGTGACCTTTTTCTTGGAGTTGATACATACAGGATCTTGATACTTAAAGCCTTCTGTGAGGGCCATAGTAGTGGACCATGTCACACTGGCTCCTTTAATTATTTTTGGCATGTTACATCTACTGCTGTGAGATAACTAGAATGTAAGCTGACCTAAAAAAAAGCCTTCCTGAGACACTTACTTTCATCATTCTATATACCTCTCATATTGTAAACTCTTAGAAAAACCCAGCCTTTCTTCCTGATAGATTCATCCTAATAACTCAGCCACTATGCTCTTGCAGTTATCAATAAACTCTTTATTTTTCTATATTCCTTGACTGTTGGTAAATTACTTTATCACTCATGAATCCAGCATTTCACATGCTGTGCCTAAATTCATATGCTGAGACTTTAACTCAAAGAGATGATGTTAAGGAATAAGACTTTTACTTTCTTAAAAATGTACCTGCTGAGCTCAATGGTATATGTATTTTTTTGAAATACTATGTCAATGTAGTTACGGAAGATAACAGGTTAAAATAGGTCATGAAGATGAGGCCCTCACAATGAAATTAATGTCTTTACAAGAAGAGGAAGATTGCAAGTTCAAACCAGACTGTCAAAATAAAAAAAAAGAAATAAATAAAGGGCTGGGAATGTAGATCAGTATGAAGGTCCTAGTTCAATCCCTAATACTGATTTTTAAAAATTTAATGATTTATTTTAAAAATTAATTTTACTGGTACATTTTAGGTATACAATACAGTGGCATTCATCATTGGAAATTTACACCTTCCCATAATCTGTCTTGGATCTTATTTTTTCCCCATTCCCCTGCCCTCCCTTCAACCCCTTCACCTCTATTTGCAAAGACTTTGTTTCCATTTTTCCATTTTCTCATATTAATTCTATTCCCTTCTTTCCCCTACCCCACTCATTTCCCCTTCCCCTTTGCCCATTTTCTTCCTATTTCACATTATCTATTATACCTTTTAGTCCTTATTTATACTTTCAGTTTCTCACACTAGAGAAACTATTCAGCATTTACACATGTGTCCTATTTATTTCACTGAAGAGTATTGCCTCAATGTGCATCCATTTATCTATAAATGTCTAATTTCTCATTCTTTATGGCTGAGTAGTACTCCATTTTATATTTTAAAATCCCCACATTTTCTTTATCCAGTCTTTTGTTGATGGGCAATTGGGCTGCTTGCAAGTTTTAGCTATACCAAATTGTGCTGCTTTGAATATGGGTGCACTATATCACAGTGGGTATGATTCTTTTTATTCATTAGGGAAGATACCCAGCAGGGGAATAGCTGGGTCAAATGGGACTTCCAATCCTAGTTATTTGATTGCACCAGTCTACACTCCCACCAACAGTGGAGCAGTGCTTCTCTTTCCCCCAACCCTGCCAGCATTTGTTATTGGCTGATTTGATGATAGCAGCCATTTTTTCTGGGTTGAGGTGAATCTGAGTGTTGTTTTCATTTGCATCTCTCAAAGGACCAGTGATGTTGAATATTTTTTCATATGTTATTTCCTATTTCTACTTCTGTGTCTGAGAAATATCTGTTTATATCAGATGCCCATTCATGGATTGGGTCTTTACATTTGGGAGGTCTGATTTAAGTTCTTTATATATTCCAGATAGATCCATATCTTTGTCTGAGGAACAGTTGGTGAAAGTTTTTTCCCACATTTTGGGTTGTCTCTTTACTGTGTTGGTGGTTTCTCTTGCTGTGCAGAGGCTTTGAAATAAGATGAGATCCCACTTGTTAATTGTTTGTGCTAGTTCACATGAGGTTTTGTTCATAAAATCTTTTCTTACACCAATAATATTCAAGAGGTCTATTCATCTTCTCTTCCATCTGGTTTAGTGTTTCTGATTTAATATTTAGATTTTTTTAATCCATTTCAATTTTAGTGTAGTGCATGGTGAGGGATATAGGTCTAGTTTTAATCTTTGGCAATTTGAAACCCAGTTTTTCCAGCACCATTTACTAAAGAGGCTATCTTTCCTCCTGTGAGGGTGTCTGGCTCCTTTGTCAAAGATGAGATGGCTGAGTGTGTCTGAAGTTGTTTTGCATGTCCCAATCTGTTACACTGGTCTTTAGGTCTGTTTCTTTGCCAGTACCATGCTGTTTTTATCACAGCAGCTTTGCAGTGTAATTTCAAGTTGGGAATTGTAATACTCTGTACCTTGTCTTTATTGGCTAGAATTGCTTTTGCTATTCTAGGTCTCTTCTTGTTCCTAATGAATTTTTGGATTGTTTTCTCAAGGTCTGTGAAATATGCTGCTGGGATTTCAATTGGAGTTGCATTGAATCTGTATTGCAATTTTGGAAGCATGGCCATTTTCACTGTTGATTCTTCCTACGCAGGAGTAAGGGATGTCTTTCCATTTTCTGATATCATCTTCAATCTTTTTTTTTCAGAGTGCTGTAGTTTTCAGAGTAGAGCTATTTAATTTTTTGTTAGGTTGATTCCTAGGTATTTCAGTTTTTTGATACTATTGTGAAAGGAATTGTTTGCCCAATTTCTCTCTCAGTGAGTCTGTTGTTCATTTACAGGAAAGCTATTGATTTTTTGTGTGTTGACCTTGTATCCAATTACTTTGCTGAATTGCTTATTAAGTCTAGAAGACTTTTGGTAGAGTTCTTGGATTCTTTTATATAGAGTGTCATGTCATCTGCAAATGATGGCAATTTGACTTCTTCCTTTCCTATCTTCATTTCTTTCTCTTGTCTAATTACTGTGGCCAGTGTTTCCAAAACTATAATGAACAGGAGTGGTGATAGTGGACATCCTTGTCTTGTTCTTGATTTTAGTGTGAAGGTTTTCAGTTTTTGACCATTTAGTGTGATATTGGCTGTAGATTTTTCATAGATGGCTTTTATCAGATTGAGGTAGAGACTGTCTATTCCAATTTTTTGTAGGGTTTTTTTTATCGTATATGCCTGTTGGATTTTCTCAAAAGCTTTTTATGCATCTTTTGAGATCATCATATAGTTTTTGTCCTTGGCTCTATT